CCTGGGTTTCCCCCGGTGGAGGAATTTGGAGAAGTCAGGTTTGGTAAATTGTCAGCCATGTGGTGGCAGCACATCAGGCACACCGCCAGATGCCAACTAAATGGGGTTAGGGTACTGAGGGTCCAGTCTTCGTGGGCCACATTTACCATGAATGCAAACAAAAAAGAAACCCCAACACCAAGCACGAACTTATAAGATGCTCCAAAAGTATTTCTGTTGAGCATGATGTATTTGGGGGTGTGGATTCTCTACAGCAGTTCCAGATCTTCATGGTGGTCAACACGATTTTCACTGAGAAGCCAGCTGCTAGCCCTGTTCTGTATGCCCACACCTGACCATGGGATTTCCGTGCCATCCCCACCTCTGCTCTTCACACAGCCATGCTTTGGTCACAGAGCACACCCTGAAGGCAGTGTGCAGGGGGCCTTTCTCCACGCAGTTTTCTCTGAGGGGTTTGGAGTGCCCTAAGATGTCTGAGGAATGTGATGTTTCACTTTTCAACAGCTAAAAACCGCTTGGGATAAGCCAGATCCTCACTCAGATGGGCCTCTTCTCTGAAAACTCAAAGATGTAGCAAACCTTTCACAGACCGAGTGCTTGGTTTGCCCACAAGTCACCTGTGTGTTCTAGAACCTGCTATACTGGTAATATACCCAGAGGCCACTGTATTCCAAATCCCTTGCGTCTAGGAGACCAGGAGTGCCAACATTCCTGGGTGACACTGGGTGATCCAGTATCAGTGGTGTCCCTAATGACGCCTGGGACCCCAGCATCAACAGCCCAAGCTTTAAGGCCACCAAGGGAGCTTGTCTCCCACAGCAAAACCTCACCAGAGTTCCTGGCTCATGGCTTGGTCTGGCCCAGCTGCAGGTGTAATGGGCATCTGGGGAGACGGATGGAATTTCTGTCTCTCTGTCATTCTAGCTTTAAATAGAGATAAATAACAAATCCTTCATGATTTACCTGACCCACTGGTTCAATAGGGGTGTTACAAACTCATTGAATGTTTTGGTCTTCCTCTGCTTAGATTCCTCCACTTATAGTTGGGAAAATGTACTTTGTATTATTTCAGACCATTTAATGTTCACACATGATATGACCTAATGTATCTATCTGGAAAAACTGTGTTTTTGTTCATGGATGGCAAACTGTAGGAAACAGCATGATCTGTGAAACTGCTTTACTGCCCTGCTGCTGTCAGTTGCTTCATCCAATGACAGAAGTGAGATGCTAAGGACTTTGATGACATGTTTCAAATTATTTCCCTCCTTAATCCTATCAACTTTTGTTCCATATATTTTGAAACACTATTGCTAAGGGTGTATGTCTGTGATTGGTGTACCTCTCCAAAGAATTGGCCCTTTTCCCATTGTAAAATGTCCTTCTTTACCTCCAGTAATATTTGACTTAAAAGTCTTAATTTTCTGATAACAGCATGACCACTCTAGCTTCATTTGAGTTGTTCGCCTGATGTATCCTTTTTAGTTTTTTTTTAATCATTTTACTTTTTTTTTTAATAGTTTTTTCTTTTTATTTATTTATTTTTTATTGGGAAGGCAGATATACAAAGAGGAGAGACAAAGAGGAAGATCTTCCATCCGATGATTCACTCCCCAAGTGAGCGCAACGGCCGATGCTATGCCAGTCCGAAGCCAGGAGCCTCTTCTGGGTCTCCCACGTGGGTACAGGGTCCCAAAGCTTTGGGCCGTCCTCGACTGCCCTCCCAGGCCACAAGCAGGGAGCTGGAAGGGAAGCGGGGCTGCCGGGACCAGAACCGGCGCCCATATGGGATCCCGGGCATTCAAGGTGAGGACCTTAACCACTTGCGCCACCGCGCCGGGCCCTAATCATTTTACTTTTAATCTATTTGTGTTCCAATCTGAAGCCTATCCCTGACAGGATCTAGTTAGACCAGAGTTTATAATCCTTCATTTTGATGTGTGGCTTTTAACTGAAGAACAGTCTATTTGCAATTAATCTAATTCTTGATAAAATCTCTACCACTTTGGTAATGTTTTCTTTTTTAAAAAAATCTATTTATTTTAAAGGTAGAGTCAGAAAGGGAGAGGCAGAAAGATGAGAGAGAGAGGGAAAGAGAGAGAGAGCACCCCCCCACACACACTGGCTCGCTTCCCAGATGGCGGCCAGGCCACAGCCTGAGCCAGGAGCTTCCTTTGGGCCTCTCCAAAGTGCTCCAGCCGGCACTCTTCGGGGATGCTGGCGTTCACCTGCCCCTCCGCGACACCACATCCTTGATACTGTTTCTGTATGTCTTACGTTCCTATTTCCCCATTACTGCCTCATTTTGTGGTAAATAAACATTTTGCAGTATATCATATATTTTTTAAAGATTTGTTTAATTTTATTGTAAAGTCAGATATATAGAGAAGAGCAGAGACAGAGAGGAAGATCTTCCATCCGATGATTCACTCCCCAAGCAGCTACAACGGCCAGGGCTGCGCCGATCCAAAGCCAGGAGCCAGGAGCTTCTTCTAGATCTCCTGCGCGGGAGCAGGGAAGACTTTGGGCCATCCTCGACTGCTTTCCCAGGCCACAAGCAGAGAGCTGAATGGGAAGTGGAGCTGTGGGGATTCGAGCTGGCGCCCATATGGGATCCTGGCGCATGCAAGGTGAGGACTTTGGCCACTAGGCTGCCACACTGGGCCCACAGTGTATCATATTTTTAAAAATATATTTTTCATCTACTTGGAAGGCAAAAGAGAGAAAGGAGGAGAAAAAAAGATTGTCCCATTCTCTGGATCACTCTCATGCAACAGCTGGTACTGACTCAGGCAGCAGCCAAAAGCCTAGAACTCCACCCCAATCTGATGTGTGAGCGGCAGGACCACAGATGAGCTATCATCTGCTGCCTCCAGGATACATCATCAGAAAATTGGATTACAGTGGAAACACTAAGACTCAAACTGGACTTCCAGTGTGGAATGTGGGCATTCAAAATGGCAGCTTAATCCACTGTGCTACAGCACCTGCCCTAATATATCCTTTTAACTCATTAATGTTTCTTATAAATTCAGTCTGCTAACAACAAATTCATGCTTTGGTTTATCCAGGACTATCTTAATCTCCTTTAAAAGAAAATTTTGTGGGCCCGGCACAGTAGTCTAGTGACTAAAGTCCTCATCTTGCATGTGCTAGGATCCTATGAGTGCTGGTTCATGTCCCAGCTGCTCCACTTCCCATCCTGCGCCCTGCTTGTGGCCTGGGAAAGCAGTTGAGGATGGCCCAAAGCCTTGGGACCCTGCACCCTCGTGGGAGACCTGGAGAAGGTTCCTGGCTTCTGGCTTCAGATCGGCACAGCACCGGCCGTTGTGATCCCTTGGGGAGTAAATCATGAGACGGAAGATCTTCCTCTCTGTCTCCTCTTCTCTGTATATGTCTGACTTTGTGATAAAATAAATCTTTAAAAAAAATAATAATCCATTTTTAGTCTTACTTAGGGTCCCTCGCAAAGCAGATTCTACTTCTCTGATTTGAAGATTCTTATTTTTTGAAAGTTTGATTACATGGCATCTAGGTGTGGATGTCTCTGAATTAATCTTACTTGAAATTCATGAAGCTTCTTAGATGAGTATTTTCCTGCCTTCCATCACCTTTAGGAAATTCTGGCCATTCATTCAAGTGTTCCTCCCGTACCTCTGCTTCTATTTGTGACATTCCTAACACACACATGGCCCACTTCATGGTATTTCTTAGGCTCTGCTTAGTTTTCTTTAGTCTTCTTTGTGTTTCTCAGACAACTCTATATGCAAGCCCATTGCCCTCTCAAATCTGCTGTGGAGTACCTCTAGTGGTCTGTTAACATACCTCTTAGCTACAAAATTTGTGTTCCTCACTATAACTTCTCTGTTAAGTGTACCTGTCTCCTCAATCTACAAGTGTTTTTGAATTTTATAGTTGCTATTAATCTGACAGGAACAAATGTTACTGTGTAGTCTTCATTATTTACCTTCACTTACGTTAAGGGTTTTTTTTTTTTCAAATGAACAAATACTGTGATGTCTATTCATTATAGTTTGAGTATTTTCTGTTACACTCTTGATTTTTTAAATTCTACTCCTAGAATTAGGCAGATCTAAAATAATGTTTTCTGTTTAGGCTGAAAATGTGGGTGGCCTTCCAGAATTTTTTTTCCTGAACTTATTTTCATGTTAACCATTTGGATGTTGAGATTTTGAATCCTAGTTAGAAAACTCAGCCCCATATTGTGAAACTATTACAGTATCTACTGCTGTACAACAACTCTAAAATCTATCACTTAAAAGACAGTCTTCTTAGCCTCACCTGTTACGGTCCTATTGGTTGATCAAGCAAAGCGGGATGGTTCTCACTGGGTTCTCTGACGTGGTTGCAGATGCTGGCTGAAGCTTCAGTTATTTAAAGGCAGGACAGGACATCCACAATGGCTCACTCACGTAACTGGAGCTGATGTTCACTTGGGCTTTGTTTAGCTGTGGCTGATGACCATGGTGCCTCTGTAAGTTGCATGGCACAGCAGCAAGGATCAAAGAACAGTCACTGTAATTCTTCTTAGGAAGGCCTCAGAAGTCCCATGATATCACCTCTGCTCTAACTCTCTGGAATTCTAAATGGATCCTAGCACTGAGCTAGGATCCTGCCACCAGGTCCTTGCTTACAGCCCTGGGAGTGGCTCTCCAGGCTGGTGTCTGCATTCTGAACTACTGTCCCTTTTTCACCACTCTATGCTTTCCTGCCTCCCCAACTATGGAAAAGTAGGGACTTTTGTTTGTTTGAGACTAAGCTGTTACTTCTATTACAAATACCATGGGTTCCCATTAGACAAAATCACATTTACAAAACTCTTCATGATGAATCTTTCCTTGGTGTGGTTGTTAAAGAGCCATTAAAAATACTCTTAAAATTCACATTTTACGTAGTATATAAGTCTCCCACTTTCAGAAGTCTTATACTTTGACCTTGAAGAACACTTATGCTGAGCAAAACCACTTGGGACTGGAGCACAATGGAGAATTAAGGTTAAGGCTCCTTCAACATGGTGCAGTATTTCAGCCTGATTCGGGAATCTAAGGGTTGTGGCTCTGGGACCTTAGATCAGTTACTGAATGGTTGGCATCAAGCTAGGTCCTGAGAAGGAAGCATCTCTTGTAGTCCTAAACCCTACAGGGCTGATTTGGAAGTGTGGCTTCAAAGATCTTCATTATTGGAGGGCTAAGAGGGACACATGGCTAAAGACTGTTATAGTTAATGGAGTTCCAGTGAGGTAGCATTGCTGTGGGTTGGTGGGAATTATCCATGGTGGTTTGGTATGGATATGATGGAGACCCAGAGCTCTTGAGACTACGGCTAGCTTGATTACAGCTGACTTAAGAAGCTCTGGGATTGGCCTTCTGCGGACAATGTATTGGTTAGAGTCCCAAGATGGGAGAACTAGACACCAAAGCCCAAGAAATGCAACAGAAGTAGTAGTTGTTGTTGGCGGGTGACTGAGCAAAGAAAACAGGAGGGCTAGAAAGAGAAGCAACAAAGGGAGCTGTCACAGAAGCCAAGCGGAATGAGGCTGCACAGGAAAACTAGAGAAAGTCACATTTTCTGGAAGGTTTCCCTCCCTCAAATGAAATCACTGTGTTACGCTCCCAGATTCTCTCCTGCACAAGAAGGGTCTATGAATGACTTAACACTTACATCTTCCAAAGTGAATTCTTGTGGAACAGCAGACATTGAAGCACCCAGAGTACCTGTGTCACTCCTTATTTCCTATCTTTATAGACAAGAGAGAGGTTACAGTCAAGGTTACAGATACGTAAGGAAGATTTATTAGAACCAAAGGCCACACAATGTGCAGAAGACTTCGTGTGGGGAAAGTAAATTAAGTTCAATGTCCTTAGAACATGTATGGAATGCAATCTTCTACTCCATTGCATGTTTCCTGGAAGTGTAAACATGTGGGCAGCTGGTCCTCACTGCCACCTCTACTTTTCAAAGAGAGTACGGGGGACCAGCAGGCTGCCCTGCGTGGGCCTCAGAGGCAGGGCGCAGTGGTGCTTTGTGGTGGACGGCCTTGATCTTCCGGTGTTTGCGGAGGTGAGACTTCTGGCTAAAGCCCTGCCTGCACACCTTGCACATGTGAGGCTTCTCCCCCTTGTGTGCCAGTCGATGTAAGGTGACTTGGGACTTGGGGATAAAGCTTTGGCCACACTCGCCACCCACGCAAGGTTTCTCTTCTGAGTGGACCCGCTTATGTGTGATTAAAGCTGACTTATTGCCAAAGCCTAGTCCACACTGCCTGCACGTGTAGGGCTTCTCCCTTGCGTGTTTCCTCCTGTGCCTGATGAGACCAGCCTGGTGACTGAAGCCCCGCCCGCACTCGCGGCACACGTATGGCTTCTCCCCCGAGTGTGTCCTCTGGTGTGCGAGGAGGTTGGACTTCTGACTGAAGCCACGCCCACACTCCTTACACACCATGGGCTTCTCCCCTGAGTGTGTCCTCTGGTGTCTGATGAGATTGGACTGCTGGCTGAAGCCTCGGCCACAGTCCTTGCACACGATGGGCTTCTGCCCAGAATGTATGTTCTGGTGTCTGTTGAGGTGGGACTTCAGACTGAAGCCTCGCCCGCACACCCCACACACGTATGGCTTCTCCCCTGTGTGTGTCCTCCGGTGAGAGATGAGGGTTGAATTCTGGCTAAAGCTGTGCCCACACACTCCGCACACATAGGGCTTCTCCTTGGAGTGCGTCCTCTGGTGGTTAACAAGGGTTGTCCTTTGCCTAAAACAACGCCCGCACTCCTTGCAGGCGTAGGGCTTCTCACCCGAGTGTGTCCTCTGGTGGGAGATGAGGTTGGATCTGTCACTGAAACCCAGGCCACAGTCACTGCACACAATGGTCTTCTCCTCCAAGTGTGTCCTCTGGTGTCGGACGACAGCCGACTTCTGGCTAAAGCCTTTGCCACATTCACGGCACACGTACGGTTTCTCCCCCGAGTGTGTCCTCTGGTGTATGATGAGGTTGGACTTCTGACTGAAGCCCCGCCCACACTCAGTGCACGTGTAAGGCTTCTCGCCAGAGTGCGTCCTCTCGTGGATGATGAGCGTTGACTTCCGGTTAAACCCTCGCCCGCACTCCCTGCACACGATGGGTTTCTCCCCCGAGTGTGCCTTCTGGTGCCTGGCAAGGCTCTTCTTCAGACTGAAGCCCTTCTCGCACACGCCACACACATAGGGTTTCTCCCCTGAGTGTATCCTCTGATGACTCAGCAGGTTTGCCAGCTTGCTGAAGCCCAGCCCACACTCTCCACAGTTGACTGTTCCAAATCCCAAGACTTCGATCCTTTCCAACAATCTGTTTGTTTCCTCCGGGTTTCCTGGCTCAGAGGCACTGGCCTCAGCCTCTTCCCTTCCAGTGCCACTCTGAGAGCTGACCAGCTGCCCTTGGGGTGGCCTGGAACATGCTCCCAAAGCCTTCTTCTTTGTCTTTCCAACCAAAGGCCTGGTGCGCTGTCTCCCGTGACCGTCTGCTCTATTGCTCCAGATGCGTCCATCAGAGGCTTGCTGCAGCTCCTGCTCCCCAGGGGCCGGCTCCCCCAGCTCGATGCCAGGCTCGGCGGCGTGTGTCTCTGCGCACAAGCATGAGAAGATCCAGCGGGGAGGATCACCCAGTGGGTGTTGCATGGGGAAGTTCTGACTGGAGAGACCGGGAGGGCAACAAGGACCAAGGCTGAGTTCTGGTTTTGGTTCTGTTGCAGAGACAAAAGTTGGAGTCACAACTGAGTCCCGAGAGGCAGCCTGAGCAGTTCTGCCTAGTGTGATGGGGAGATTTGATTCCCTGTCCTCCAAAATACTTCCGACTCAAGTGGCACCTAACCATGACTTCCTTTTCCCTGGAACTTACATGATGATCTTCCATCCCATGACTGCACCTCACATCCTAAGATCTATTCATATAAAACATTACAAGAAGTTTCAGGTGCATACTTAGGGCTCACATACAACACAGGCAACTGTCTCTACAAAATGACTCTATGATTATCTTCTTCTAACTTACAACTCCTCACACACGCCAGGTTCACAAGGATTTGCTTTTCAACTGAAAGAGCCTTAGCCATAGGACCAATGTGGAAGTGTCCTATATCCTGTCCCTCTGAGGACAAGGATGGACTGAGAGAGCAGTCATTCAGATGGGATGGAGAACCCCTGGTGCAGGGAGAGGGTGCTTAAAGAGAAAGAGTGTGGGAGGCAGCTAAGTGTGCAATCTCACTAACAAATATCTGTTACAGGACTGCGCCGTGCCAGGCTTCCAGAACACAGCTTAGGTCCCCACTGACTTACGACGCTCCCTCTGGTGCACTGTTGATTTCTATACATTTCCCTTGAAATGAGTGTGGACAAGTTTTCAACTGACAGCACCTCTTCCACCACTGAATGTGCTGCTTCATGAAAACTTGCTGCAGGTAGCAGAAGGTAATATGCGATGAAACAATTTAAGTAACCGGATATGAGCTTACGCAGTTTATCTAAACATTCTTTTCTTGGCCAAAGAAGAATCTAACTTATTTAAACTAACTCCGTCTGCTCCTACATCCCAGGATAAGCCCATTCTACAGAGTGCTGCTTTTCAGCCCTGATTATGAATAGTCCAATCCCCCTGGCTCATCGCTGACTCTTCCCACTGAGCTAGCCAGCTGGGGAGTGCCTTCCCTTTGCTGTGTCACTGCCGGAAGCTCAACAACTTCCTTTCTGCTAACCTGGACTCGGAAGGCTGAGGAGCCGCAGGGATCCCTACGGCCTGTTACTCAGCAGAGAATGATCTGTTTCCACTGTTTCTCACTGACTTTTGTTTGTTTAACTTTGGTTGTTTGGGGCTCCACAATTTAAACTGATGCTGTATTTCCATTTCTAGCCAGCGATGAGCTTTGTGGAAGTCTGCACTTCAGTGGAGTTTTTACATTTCGTTTGTGGTGTTATTTTCTCTTGGCCATGTTAAGGGAAAGGAAGCAGACACTGAGGCGTTGCTGGGGGTTATGTCAGACGTTAGGACATGGAGACACGGTAAGCGGGTTTTGCAGCAGAAGGTACTGCAACTTTCTTTGATAAAGGCAATCCTTCCACGTATGCTTAGAACAGCCCTAACTTCTGTGCCTTTATAAACAGTGGCAGGTTTGAGAAGTATAGATCCCTCTGACCCCTGCATCTTTCCCTGCCACTGCCACTTTCTGGGACATTTCAAAACAGTTACATCTATTCAGGGTGACAGAAGACAAACAGAATTAGCTGGTATTTTAAATGTTGGTATTTAGGGCCCGGCACAATAGCGTAGTGGTTAAAGTCCTCGCCTTGCACGCGCCAGGATCCCATATGGGTGCCAGTTCTAATCCCAGCAGCTCCACTTCCCATCCAGTTCCCTACTTGTGACCTGGGAAAGCAGTCAAGGATGGCCCAAAGCCTTGAGACCCTGCATCCATATGGGAGACCCAGAAGAAGCTCCTGGCTCCTGGCTTCAAGTTGGCTCAGCTCCAGCCATTGCAGCCACTTGGGGAGTAAACCATTGGATAGAAGATCTTCCTCTTTGTTTTTCCTACTCTCTGTACATCTGCCTTTCCAGTAAAAATAAATAATAAAAATCTTTTTAAAATAATTAAAAAAAATAAATGTTGGTATTTAAATCTTATGATTCCATCTTCTTGAAAGACAGAATAATAGACAGAGATCCTCTATCTACTGATTGATCCTGCAAACACCTGCTCTAGCCAGAATTGAGCCAGGTCAAGGCCAGGATCCTGGAACTACCATCTGGGTCTCCCATGTGGGGAACAGAGACTCAAGCACTTGAACATTGCTGTTGCCTCCCAGGACGCATTAGCAGGAAGTTGGGTTGAAAGCTCAGGAACCAGAACTTAAACCAGCACTAGAATATGGGATGCAGAGGGGTGAAGCTAGCACCTTTGATGCCAGCAGCCCATGTGGGCACTGGTTTGAGTTTTAGCTGTTCCACTTTCAACCAGCTTCCTGCTAACACACCTGGGAAAATGGAAATATGGCCCAAGTAGTTGGGCCCTTACAAAAATGCTGGCCACCCAGATGGAGTTCCAGGCTTCTGGCTTTAGTCTGGCCAAGCCCTGGCTATAGCAGCCATCGGGTGAGTAAATCAGCAAGAGGATCTCTCCGTCTCTTTCTCTCTCTGTGTCTGAAACTGCCTTTCAAATAAATAAGGCTTTTAAAAATGAAAATTAAAGCGCCCTGCACGGTGGTCTAGTGCTGGATCCTCGCCTTGCATTCACCAAGATCCCATATGGGCGCTGGTTGTGTCCTGACTACTCCACTTCCCATCTAGCTTCCTGCTTATAGCCTGGGAAAGCAGTGGAGGATGGCCCAAAACCTTGGGACCCTGTAATTGCATTGGAGACCCAGGAGATGCTCCTAACTCCAGATCAGCTCAGCTGCGGCTGTTGCAGCTACTTGGAGAGTGAACCAACAAATGGAAAATCTTTCTCTGTCTCTCCTTCTCTCTGTATATCTGCCTTTTCAAGGGGAAAAAAAATCATAAAAAGAAAATTATAAAGGATATGGGATGCAGGTACCTCAATGTATAGCACCACAATGCCTGTCCCAATAAGGTGTTTGCTGTCTTCGGGTATTCCCATCCTGACAGGCTTACGGAGAGACCAATGAGCATCAATATGAGCTTATCATTTAAAAACTCGAGTATCCAGATTAAAACTAAAACTGAATTCTCGTTGGTAAGGATGCACGGGTTTCTGCAGGCAAACTTTTCTGTTGCCATTCAAGTTGCAGTCCTTTAGGGAACGGTGCAGTTGCAGCCGTGGTCGCGAGGCTATACTCCAAGAACGAGAGGCACTCCGCACTGATGAATCACACAGAGAACTTTATTTGTTGGCATATGACTCAGAGGTGGATTGAGTACTTTAAAATACGGTAAAACTTGGAAATCAGATGTCTTTCCTTGATTTTATTATAGTTTCAATGTAATATTACATAATATAGTGCTATAAATCATGGTTCTCTTTCCCAAAGAAATCTTTATTAACCTAAACTTCCAAGATTCAATCACTGATTTTTAAGGTCTGTAAAGCTAATTTTACGTATATAAATGTAGGTCAGAAAAATGTAGACATGTATCTAATTAATATAAAGTGTAAAGACAGTGTTGGAAATAATGATTCTATACTTACTTTACTCAAAGTAAATTCCAGAAGTAACATTTTTTCAGGTAATTTTTACTATCGAAACTGATCATAACACTTTTTAGTTTCTAACAGCTCTATTAGAAAATCCCTATAAAAATCGATATTTTAGATTGTCTTGGGGAGAGGCCAGCAGTGTGATGTAGAAAGTTAAGCCACCACTGGCATGCCCCCGGCAAGGGCAGGAGTTCTGCTGCACCTGCCATCCAGCCCTGCTAACGGGCCTGGGAAAGCAGCAGAAGCTGGCCCAAGGGTTTGAGGCCCTGCACCATGTGGGTGCTCCAGATGAAGCTCCTGGCTCCTGACTTCAAGCTGGCTCAACTCTGACTGTTACGGTCATTTGGGGAGTGAATGAGAAGCTAAGAAACATCTATCTATCACCACCTTCCTTGCTAGCTCTTTTACAACTGCCTTTCAAATAAATTTTTTAAAAAGGGCGGGGGGAGATTTCCTGGCACAGACATTTGATCTGGGGGTCAAGAAAGCACTTAAGAATCCCATGTCCTTGTGCCTGAGTTCTATGTTGCAGCTGTGCTCCTTACCCCGGCTTAAAGCTAACACACACTCCACACACTCTGGGAGGCATGGCTCAAGGACTTGGGGCACAGCCACCCCCATGGGAGACCCAGACTGAATCCTGGCTCCTGGCTCCAGCCTGGCCTAGGCTGGGATGACCTTGTCTGGATTGTGTTCCCATTGAAACGCACCTTATATAAGACAGACATCGTTGCTTCACTGACACAAACTCCCAACAACACATAGGGAACAAATAAAATTCTCTTAAAAACTAAAAAAAAAAAAAAAACAACAAGTTTTTGTGTAGTAATTTTACTTATATTCTTGCCTAAAATAATGTAATAAATCTTGTATGAACTAGTTCATTATTTTACAGAAAGTTAGAGCTTGACTGTTCATCAACGTGTGTAATATCATGTTTAAACACATGCACAATTGTATTTCAACAGCAAAAACCAGAAAGATTAAACCTGACCAGAAAAGTACTAACTAAAAGGGAATTATGATGTGGTGTGTAAATTCTGTCCTTCCCATGAAAAAGAATTCTTGTCTTCCACACGGTCTACTTGCCAAGCATGAAGCCCCCCTTTTGGCTTCAGCAGCTGTGTGCTTTCCACTCCCAAGGCTCTCACCAGTAGGGAGTGCCCCCCACTCACCTGCACAGGCGGCCAGTGGACACGGTCTGTTCTCTTTCCACGTCTCCTTCCCTTGCTCCAGCTGAGTGATGAGTTTGGGTTTCGAAAACGAAATTCCTGCTCACAGAGAAAGAAGATACAGTGACTGCAGGTCAAGGATCCCGTCAGGCATTCAGAGCCAAACTGGGTGGTACTACCAGGACCCAAAAGTGGGGGGCTCTCAGCAATGAAAGGGGGACTGCGGGAAGGCAAATGGAGACGGATGCAGCTGCTTCTACACGATGCCACGTAGATGAGCACCTGTTTCATTTTAAAGCAGTTATCAAGTTAACAAGAAAGCCCTGGTGTAGGGGAAGCAGCAGAGAACAGACACCCACCTCCCTCCTCTCACCTACTTTCAACTCTATAAAATCAGGCTTTCCTGCAGAAACAGACCAAATGCCTTTGCTGCCGTGTCCAACACAGAAGCCAAGTTACGGGGTCCAGTGTCGTGATGTGGTCGGACACTTCACACACGGGCATCTCGTGAGAATTGCAGTTCAGGGCCTGGCTACTCCACTCCTGACCCAGCTCCCCATGGTTCAGGATCAATCTAGCCCAGACCCAGCCATGGCAACCATTCGGGGGGTGAACCAGGACACGGAGGATGTATGTGTGTGTATACCTCATAAATAAAAACATAAATACTCTTTAAAAAACACAAAACAAGGCCCAGCTGCATGGCCTAGAGGCTAAAGTCCTTGCCTTGAACGTTCCAGGATTCTATATGGGCGCCGGTTCCAATCCCGGCAGCCCCACTTCCCATCCAGCTCCCTGCTTGTGGCCTGGGAAGGCAGTCGAGGACAGTCCAATGCTTTGGGACCCTGCACCCACAGGGGAGACCTGGAGGAGGTTCCTGGCTCCTGGCTCGGGATCGGCATAGCATTGGCCATTGTGCTCACTTGGGGAGTGAATCATCGGACGCAAGATCTTCCTCTCTATCTCTCCTCCTCTCTGTATATCTGTCTTTGTAATAAAAATAAATAAATCCTTAAAAAAAACAAGTCAATATTCATTGTTTAAAACAAAAAAAAACACCACAAAACAAATCATGGGGTCCAGCACCATAGCACAGCCCATTAAACCACTGTAGGCAGCACCAGCATCCGCTGTGGGTGCCAGTTCGTGTCCTGGCGGCTGCAATTCCTATCGATCCCCTGCTAACGCATCTGGGGACGCAGCAGAGATGGCCCAAGTGCTTGGGTTCCTGTACCCACATGGGAGACCCGAATGAAGCTCCTGGCTCATGACTTCAGTCTGGTCCAACCCTGGCTATTGCTGCCATCTGGGAAGTGAACTTGTGGCTAGAAGGCCTGCCTCTGTGCACGTGTAATTTTCCAAATGAAAAGATCAAAATTAAAGTTGGGAATCAAGATGACTGGAGCCATAGGAATGCGGATCGCACACGCCAAGCTCACCCAGGGACACCAAGTTGCTATAGTTCTCCAGCATCACCTCCTTGTACAGCGTTCTCTGGGCAGGACTCAGCAGGCTCCACTCCTCCTGCGTGAAATCCACAGCCACGTCTCTAAACGTCATGTGTGTCTGCAACATGAAACACAGCACTGCTCAGCCAGAGCCAGCCCCGGGAGAAGTGCCCAGAGGATCCCCGGGCAGGCACCCTGCCGCTGCTCACCCAGAGCCAGCACCGCTGCCGTTGCCATTGCCTCTGATGCCAGGTGTTGCAAGACTTTCCAGCCTGTCTCTACCCAGGCAGCAGCATTTGTGAACTTACACATTCAAAAGCCCCGGTAGTAGTCCCAGTGTGGCAGCCTAACAGCTAAAGTCCTAGCCTTACACACACTGGAATCCCATATGGGTGCCAGTTCTAATCCCGGCTGCCCCGCTCCCCTTCCAGCTCCCTTCTTGTGGCCTGGGAAAGCAGGGGACAGCCTAAAGCCTTGGGACCCTGCACCCGCGTGGGAGACCTGGAAGAGGCTCTGGGCTCCTGGCTTCAGATCAGCACAGTTCTGGTCATTGCAGCCGCCTGGGGAGTGAATCATGGGACAAAGATCTTCTCTATCTCTCTTTATCTCTCCTCCTCTATGTATATCTGACTTTCCAATAAAAATAAAACAAAATCTTAAAAAAAATTCCCAGGTAGGCGATTTGGAGTGTTAACACAAAAATCAGTAGCCTTAAAATTAGGGGACTTTACATCTAAGCACAACAGACTTTAAGCATTTATCAGACAGGGTAAGCAATCCTGTTAGTGCCGATATAGATGAGTGACTCAAGTTGCTACAATCTGATAACGGTAGACAACTCATCCCACCGCTTCCAGGTAAGCACACCACCTCTCAGCCTCGTGGAACCTGCCAGAGCCCAGCAGGGGCCACCAAGCTGCACCATTTCAAAGTGAAGGCCTCACCAGGACAAAGGTTTCAGGAGGAAGTTCTGTGCATTTATAAGTTTTGTTTTATCTGTGGTTCTACTGCTATGCTGTCAGCCTTCCCTGCTACCCCCAATTCCCCCCAGTGCCTCACCTGGAATACCTGACACTTCTTCCCTTAACATTCCCAAAGTCAAGTAGCTCCTGAAACCTTTGTCCCTTTGAAATGACAGATAAGACGACCGAGGCCCCAGGGACACCCCCGCCAACCCCACCAGTGGAAGTACAGACCCCTGAGGGCTTCAGATCAACACGCACCCATCCCAGGACTTACAGCACTAAGCGAGCTTCTCCCAGTGCTGCCGTTCCCGTCACAGCCGGACTCACCTCCATCCCTAACATCCTCAGGACGTAAAGCCCAAGCCGGCACCTCTACACCGCCCAGCTTTCACGGCTGAGAGAGCCTGACGCATCCCCTCGGTCTGTGCGCCCACACCCCCAAAGAAGGCATCCGGAGAGGGCCCCAACACCACCAGCAGGCGCTCCCCCGCGCCATCAGCACCGACGCCCCCCAAGGAGCAGCCCATGGACCAACCTTTTCAGACCTCCTTTTCTGTTCAGGAAAAAAAAGGCACGGTGGCAGCAAGAATCCCACGGGAGCCTCATTCACCAGCGCCACCCAAGAGCAAGGGGGTCATCACCGGCTGGGGAGAATCGCCCCCAGCCAAGCACCCAGACAACACTACCCAGAATCCTCGGCACTTCGCCGGGGCCACACCTCCCAGGATGCTCGGCGCCCCCGACGGCCGCGGCGCGCGGAGATGACGCAGAGACCGCAGCAGCCTGTCCCGGTGTCTGGGGTGTCCTTGGGGATTCCGCCCATAGGAGCGGGTTGTGGGGTCCCGCTCCGTCCCGTTCCGTCCCAGCTAGCCTGGCTGCACCGGGTCGTGCCAGGAAGCCCACACCGAGCAGCTTCAAGCCCGCAGGCGTGGCACAGGTGCCAGTGCTCGCCGGCTGTTACCTTGGGCGGCGGGGGAGGCATGCCTTTTCATATTCCTCAAGGAAAATACGGGTTTATTAAATTTTGTTTATAAGAAGTAGATCGTGTGTCAATGTCAAACTTGTTAAAAAAACAAATAAACCAAAAACAAAACAACCACTTGAGAGAAGCTGGCGGGCATAGAGGGCTTATCATAACAGATCCTCCACCTGTGCTCCCACATCCCGTGCGGATGCCAGTTCATGTCCCGGCTGCTCCACTGCTGATTCAGTTAATCCCTGCTAATTCCCTGGGAAAGCGGTAGAGCATGGCCCAAGTCCTAGGGACCCTGCACTCATGAGGGAAACCTGGAAGAAGCTCTTGGCTCCTGGCTTTAGACCAGCCCAGTTCTAGCCTTAACAGCCATTTGGGGAGTGAAGCTGTGGTTGGAAGATCTCTCTCTTTGTAATTCTTTTTATTATTATTATTATTTTTTAAATTATTACGATGCAGTTCTATAGGCTCTGGGATATCCTTGACTCCCTCCCCAAATCCTCTCTCTCCTACTGGTTTCTCCTATATTATTACAATAGTACAGTTATTCATAAACAGTCATAAGTCCATCATTGCAGGCATGGACAATGGCAGAGAGTCCAGCATCTCCCATTGGGAGTCCATCTTTGATCTGGAAATAGAGATGCATACTGCATTGTATCCTCACATCTGGATATGATAGTCTCCATTACACAGTTACTATATATCCCGTTAAATGAAAAGCCACAAAACAAAATCAACAGGAAGAAAAATAGAAATTTATAATGCCATGAAGTTAAATAACATGCTACTGAATGTGTTGCTGAAGAAATGAAAAAGAAAATCAAGAACCTTCTTGAAGAAAATGATGGTACCATATGACTTATGAGTCAGTGAAAATTTTGAGAAAAAAACTTTAAAAAGTGAAAATAGGGCCCGGCGCGATGACGCAGTGGTTAAGATCCTCACCTTGCACGTGCCGGGATCCCATATGGGCGCCGGTTCTAATCCCAGCATCCCTGCTTCCCATCCAGCTCCCTGCCTGTGGCCCGGGAAAGCAGTAGAGGACGGCCCACCTGGAAGAGGCTCCAGGCTTCGGATTGGCTCAGCTCCAGCCGTTGCGGCTGCCTGGGGAGTGAATCATCGGACGGAAGATCTTCCTCTCTATCTCTCCTGTATGTATATCCGCCTTTCCAATAAAAAATAAAATAAAATTTAAAAAATGAAAATAAAAGCAAAAGCTCAAAATCCACGAGATAGTTTGCACTTATCTTTGTTGGTGAGAGATGTCTCCTGCAGTCAATAGATAGATGGGATTTTTAATCCAGTCTATTAATCTATGACGTTTGATGAGTTTAATCCATTTGCATTCAGGATTAATATAAATAGGTGGTAATTTGGTCCTGTCATTTTGGCAATGGGTTGTTCATTGATTTAGTCCTCTGTTATTTTACTGGGGTGTTCTTCACATTTGCCCTTGGTTTTGGTGGGTGCTATTCCTCTTCTCTGTCAAGAGAACATCTTTAAGCATCATTTGTAGGGCAGGTTTGGAAGAGGCAAATTCTTTGAGCTTTTCTTTACTGTGAAAGAATTTTATTTCAGTTTCAAAGACAAAGAAAAGCTTTGCTGGGTACATTATTCTGTGCTGACAGCTTTTTCTTTTTAGAATCTGGAATATGTCACTCCATTCTCTTCTGGCCTGCAGTTTCCTGAGAGAGGTTAGCTGTGAACTTAATTGCCAGTTCTCTGTATGTCAATTGATTTTTTTTCATGTGTGCATTTAACGATATTTTCCTTATGCTCAATGGAAGAGAGCTTGATTATCATGTATCATGCTGAAGATTGATTTTTGGTCAACCCTGGTAAGAGTTTTGCGCCCCTCCTGCATGTTGTTTCCTAATTCTTTATTAGTATGAAGGAAGTTTTCATTTATTATTTCATTGAATACAGCTTTAAACACACCTTCCCTTTCGGCTCCTTCTGGAACTCCCATAACTGTTACTTTTGACCTTTTAACAGTGTCTCTTAAATCTTGAATAATTTTTTAGCTTAACCCTGCTCTGTTGACAGCTTTTTGATTGTTTCCCCTTTGTGACAAATATCTTCCAATTCTGAGATTCTTTTTCTGCCTCATTCATTCTATTATTGAGACTTTACATTGAATTTTTTTTAAGATTTATTTTTATTATTTTTTTATTGGAAAGGCAGATATACAGAGAGGAGAGACAGAGAGGAAGATCTTCCGTCCGATGATTCACTCCCCAAGTGAGCGCAACGGCCGATGCTATGCCAATCCGAAGCCAGGAGACTCTTCCAGGTCTCCCGCGCGGGTGCAGGGTCCCAAAGCTTTGGGCCATCCTCGACTGCTTTCCCAGGCCACAGGCAGGGAGCTGGAAGGGAAGCGGGGCTGCCGGGATTAGAACCGGCGCCCATATGGGATCCCGGGCGTGCAAGGCGAGGACCTTAACCACTTGCACCACCGCGCCGGGTCCTTTACATTGAATTTTTAAAAATTATTTGTTTTTATTGCAAAGTAAGATATATAGAGAGGAGAAGAGACAGAGAGGAAAATCTTCCATCTGTTGATTTATTCCTCAGGTGACTGCAGTGGCTACAACTGCACCAATGTGAAGCCAGGAGCCTGGAGCCTCTTCCAAGTCTCCCACACGGGTGCAGTGTCCCAAGGCTTGGGCCCTCCTCCACTGCCCTCCCAGGCCACAAGCAGGGAGCTGAATGGGAAGCAGGGCCGCCAAGATTAGAACTGGCGCCCATATGGGATCCTGGTGCGTGCAAGGTGAGGACATTAGCCACTACGCTATCATGCCGCCGGGCCCAATACAACTAACTTTTAGAGTTGACGCAGCCGGGGCCAGCATTGTGATGCAGCATGTTAGGTCACTGCTTGCCTTGTGGGCATCCCACATCAGAGGGGCAGTTCACGAGCTGGATGCTCCACTTCCACGCCAGCTAACGCCTAACGCAGTTGCAAAGGCAGAAGGTGGCATGAGGGGCTGGATCTCTGCCCCCATGTGGGAGGCCAAAAAGGAACTCCTGGTTCCTGGCTTCAGCTTACAGGGTGACGTGGCAGGCGCACCAGCAGATGAAAGGTTTCTCTGTTTTCCCCAACTCTGGATTTCAGATAGGTGTTAATGCAGTGAAGGCAGGGTTCATGATGAATGTGAGAGCTGTGATGGATGCCGAGACAGGCTGGCTCCTTGCCTCCTCCAGGCCGCATCAGGTCAGTTTCAGCTTTCATGTTTCTGTCACTGAGCTGGCGCAGTTCACTGGCGGGAGGAACTGGCCAGGGAATTCAGCTTTGTTCCCTTTTGCGATTTAACCTGTGGTGTGACCATGGACAAGA